CACACGTGTGTGAAGGCAGGGCTGCACACGTACGCTGTATGCACACACGCTCGGGAGAACACTGGTTACATTTCAATCCCTGGCACGTCCCCAGGACATCAAATGAGCCCATGAGGACTGTTACCTGCACAAGATATTGCTCCCTCCCCCCAAGGCAGGTTCAGCTTCTTAGAAACCCCTGTGGGAATTCCTGGGGGTGGCTGGGAGGACCAGGGGATTGGAGCAGGGGAGGAGAGGAGGCCCCAGATGGTGGGAGCCTCACCCAGGACCCTGAGCACCAGGGTCAGAGCCCAGCTGTCTTCTCCCAAGCTGCTTCTCAGGACAGACAGGTTCCACCTGTGGCTCATCACTACAGCCAGCATTAATGGCAGCTCCACAGTCTGGAGATGGGGGTGGGGGTGGGGGCAGGGGCAGGATTTCCCACCTGACATCAGGAAGCTGGAGCTCAAGCTGGGCCAGCTGTGGGAAAGAACGCGTTGGGATAAGAAGCTAGTGGGAAGCAAGGCCTTTTTACTTGCTTGGCAAGCTCAGGTCTGTGCATAGACCCGCAGAGGACCCAGGAGAAAGCACAGACCTTGCTTACAGGGGCTTGTGGCCAATGAGGAGACAGAAGTAGCGAAGCAAGCCACAGGTCCTGGAAGGAGAGGGTGGAGATCAGGCGACCCTCACTCTGAGGCGTCCCCGCACATTTAAGTCTCTGTAGGGAGTTTAGAAACATCCTAAGAGGGATGTCAGCATGCTGAGGCCTGAACTCCATGATGTGATGGCCTGGCCAAAGAATCCCATATTGGGTTCCAGGCTCCCTGGGTCTCATTTGTCACAGTGACTAAGAGCCAGGGAAGGCCGAGTTCCTATTCAGGAGCCCATCCTCACAAATGGGGCGATGGGGCCCAGATGCTGAGGCATGACCATTGCTATCTGGGCTTCTTCCTTCCCAAAGCAGAAACAATATGGTTGTTGGCATATAATTCCCTTGGTGGGGGTCCACACCCAGGGAACTGCAGGAAGGCAGGCCACAGTCACCAGGAGGGAGCCTGGGACACACAAGTGGCTTCCCCTCTCTGGGAAACTTCGTGTTCTAGGCCTTCCTTAGCTGTCTCGTCTTCAGCTGATTTCTCTATTTGGGGGATTTCAGATGGTGAGTGGTGGGCCTCGAAGCAGATCCGCTCAGAGAGCAGCACCCTTCCCGAAGGGCAAAGCACACTGTCAGCATCTCCAGGGGTTACCCGTGGGTTTCCAAGGCAAGCGTTGGCTCTGAAGTGCATTTAATATAACAAACGACTGTCGGGCGTCACACCTTCTCATTGCCATGGACTTGATGCTGCTATGCATCCGGTCCCCCTGAGGTTGTGGGAATGGACCACACAGGTGGCACACACTAGGCAAGTGCTCTCCCTCTGAGTCACATCCTAGACTGTGCATCCTCTTGTGTGCATGTTACAAGCATGTGAAGTGTGTGTGCATATTATAAACATGTGAAGTGTGTGTGCATGTTACAAACATGTGAAGTGTGTGTGCATGTTACAAACATGTGAAGTGTGTGTGCATGTTACAAACATGTGAAGTGTGTGTGTGCATGTTATAAACATGTGAAGTGTGTGTGTGTGCATGTTATAAACATGTGAAGTGTGTGTGTGCATGTTATAAACATGTGAAGTGTGTGCATATTACAAACATGTGAAGTGTGTGTGCATGTTACAAACATGTGAAGTGTGTGTGTGTGTGTGTGTGTGTGTGTGTGTGTGTGTGGTGTGTGCTATCTCTATTGTAAAAAGCACATGGCTGGAGGTGAAAGACCTTAAGTGATGGCTCCAAGGTCACACACTTAGTCAGGGCAAAGCTCAGCTGGGAACCTGTTCTACATTTTAACTCCTTGTGCACCCGCCTTCATGGTCAAGGTTTCAGCTGGTTCTTTGTCAGCTTAGTAGGACCAGCATTCTGTCTCCACCTGTCTGCCTCACTTAGGGACAGCTCTGCCTAGCAGGCATGGCCTTGTGGGAATGTCAGTGTGTGCTGTACGGACAGCAGCTTGGGGAGAAGAGCGTAGCAGTGGCCCTGGCTCACGGCTGTAGGTGTCCAATGCAGCTGTCTTAGTCTACTTTCTGACATGTGACGTGCTATCGGAGAGTGCAATTCATAAGGAACGAGGCTGGTTTGGCGGGAAGTCTGAGCGCATGGGGCTGACATCATTTTGTATCTGGTAGGGCTGCGGTGTACATGCTATCATGGCAGAAGACACCAGATGGGTGATGGGATAGTGTGCCAGCTAGGGCCTCTTTCCCCATGGTGAGGTGCCACCCTCATGACCTCATTGACCTCTAATTGCCTTCCAAAAGCCTTACCTCTAATACCATCAATACAAATCTGGAAGTTTCCCACACATGAACTTTTGGGGCAAATGTACCATCGCACCCCATAAGCCATTGTGTGCTGTGGAAATTGTCAACTCCCAAGATGACCCAGTAGAGGGGTGATGTATGTGCCAAGAACACTGATGTACTACCAGCCTACATCATTCCTTTCCGGTAAAGCTTAGCCTGAAGATGGCTAGGACCTTAAGTGATTCCCAGGAAACCAATGGTGTCCAAAGCCTAACACCACCAGACCATGTGACTCATATCCAACCTGATAGTGAGCAGGCCAGGCATGCCATCTCTATTTCCTCTGAGCTCCTAGCCAGCATATGGCCCTGATGCCTCCACCCTTCCGAGGCTGGCAGGAGTCTCTCTGTCTGATGCCACCATCCCATTCCCTGGCCCTGGCCCTATGACAGGACCATGGGCTCTGAGAGGCGCCAGAAAAGCCCGGAAATCCTTTGACAAAGGAGTGAGCCAGGCCTCTCGCTGGCTGACTCTGGCTCCCGGCTATCTGGCTTGTACTTGAGCTTCTCTACCAGAGGGTCATGGTGAACACCCGGCAGGCAGTGGCCCCTGTGCTGACAGACACCGCTTCCCACACAGCCTCAGAGCCAGCAAGGTGCTGGTTCGCCAGGGTTGCCTTGCTAGGCACTCTCTCCCCTTCTTTATAGTTCTTCTTATCAACGCTGCAGGGGTGAGCCGCTCCTATTTTAGGAGTTGGTGCAGAGTGAACTGGTGACGTGAGGTGTTGCTCACCCCGGCTGGCCATCATGTCTGGGTCTTGTTCTTCAGTCAAGCAGCGCTTCATAGGCCCCCAGAGGCCACTGGCTAGCCCAGACTCCTGTGCACTGTTGTGTGTTTTGACCACACAACCTCCTCAGCCCCAATCTGGACACCACTAGGGGTTAAACTGGTCTTGAGTGCTGCTGTTCCTGGGTTCCCCCAGCAGCTGGCACTGGGACTGGTCTCCTCCCCTAGCCCAGAAGCAGCCGCAGCTGCGGAGAGAACCCACAGAGGAGAGCTCTTGCCACGCCTTTGCTGGCTGGCCTGAGATCCTTGTCCTTTATGTGCCTCATCTGTGAAATGGGTAACAAGTTCTCCCAAGGAACTGCTGTGGAGATGGGATGCGGCACGCCATCACCAGAGCCTAGCAGACAGCCAACAGGCAGATAGCACAGGTCTCTGTGCCCAGATGTCCCCAATGGCGGCTATGGCAGGGAGCCAAGTGATGGGTACTCTAGAAGCCACTTTTGAATGGGGAAGAGGCTCATGTGTGGTGACTGGGAAAACACAGTAGATACATGTGACTCCTGAGGCTGATCAGGGAAACCTCAGACCTCAGAACAGGGAGCATGGCTTACTAGTGGACCTTGAAAGCTTGACACCCAGTCTCAAGCACCCACTCATGGACCAATCTCTTTGCAACTGTGTCCTGCTCCTTGCGCCGCTCCAACACACAGCGGGATCACTTTAAAGCAGCTCACAGATGAGCAGAAGAGTAACCTTGTGCTTTCAAGGAGCTTTCATTAAGGAAAACATAATTACGTGTTATCCTCATGCCTGTTTTTATTATTACCATTAAAAAAAAAAAGATTGTGTGTACCTGCATGGGTTTATGTGTACCATATGTAAGCTTGTGATCTTCTGCAGCTAAGGACTAGTCAACAATGGGGTGAATAAGTTAGTTTAAAAAAATGAATGGGAACCCCTGGAAACTGCTGACGAGTGCAGTCTGCTTGTACTTGTGGCTTTCTGCTGTGCAGCAGCATGCCTCAGCTGGTGCGGAGGCCCAGGTACTCCTTTGCCTGGCAGTCTGTCTAAACAGCTGCTCTGTCTGTCGGGAAAGGGACCTGAAAGTGTGTGATTCTTCCATTTCACAATTCCTACTGACTAACACAGCCAAGTGCCGTAATTTCCATAGGAGAGAGGGTCAGAGACTTTGGTTTGTGACATAGGTCTCACTATGTGGCCCAGGCTGCTCTCCTCTGAACCTTTCCACCTCAGATACTGGGGACAGAGGCAGGAGCCACTGTGCCAAGCTCTGCATGAGTTTCTTCTTCCTTCCTACGACAGACACAGATAACAAAGTTAATCAGAATGTGAGCTCTCTAAAATACCCCAGAACACTTCTTGTGGGCACAAGGTCTCAGGATGTCCCAGAGTGAACAATGACGTCCACAATTATACACGGGTCTCCTGACTCTTCTGGTGTTCGTGATGCACGTGCAGATGCAGCCCACATCTGAGGTGACCGTCAGAACACACCCCTCAAGGGAGAATCCCACTTCTGGCCACACCTGTTCCTCCTCTGCCATCTTGGAGTAAACATCTTGGTCTACTCCTCCTGGGTGATGGACACTTTCATAATGTAGTCAGCTCTGCTGTGGACAACCTGCTTGGGCAGGGAAAGGGGGTTGGAAATGGGCTTCGAAAGATGACCAGAGTCGAGTGGGAATCTAAGGGTACGCTCCTGTTGAGTCCCGCCCTGCCTTAGCAGGCCGTCTGCTGTGGATCTCCCCGAACCCGGAGTACACAGGTTCTAGTCTGCTGCTGGAGATGGCGGAGGACTGCTGCTCTTCTGCTTTCCAGACCATAACCAGGGGCGTGACCAGGCTGGCAGAAACCAAAGAAGGCTGCAGCACACAGTTTTTAAATAAGTTTATAATTTCCTGATGGATTTAGTTCGTGAATAAAAAAGAAAAACCGTCAAACAAAGTGTTTACAATAGTTACCAAGGCAAAGTTGAACAGAACACAACGTCTTTGTAATGTCATCATCAGGCCGGCAGTTCGACGCTAACAACGGCACGCACGTGCACAATGGAAGACGGCAGCCGCGGCTGCTTCACACAAGCCACCAGGCCGCCACCACTGCTCCCTACAGGGACTCAAGCTACAGGAAGCCAGTGCCCAGTGTTCTGGGCTCCCCACTAAAGTGCAACACGCCTCTTCTGAAGGAGGGGTGAGGAGTCAAGCCCAGGTCCCCATCCTGGAACAGTCTGTTGCGCAAGGCAGGCTTCTGGTCTGCACTGGGCTGCTGGCCCAATGGATGGCATGTGCCTCAGGCGGGACTAGATGCTTTAAAGGATGGATGTAATACTGGTGTGGCAGGAGGAGGGGCTGGGCTGGTGTGCTCACTGTGGCATAGGGGTGCGTCTCCTTGCCTCAGCCTGGCTCACTTCCTTTCTTGCTCTGGCATCTCTGGAGCTAAGGAGGTTTGGGTCTAAAAAGCTTCAAACAGGAGAATCTAGGATCCGAAGCCAGAGAGGGCCAGGCTCTGAGGGCCATCCATGGCACTGGCCTGCAGGCTCTGAGGGCCATCCATGGCACCGGCCTGCAGGCTCTGAGGGCCATCCATGGCACTGGCCTGCAGGCTGAGGGCCATCCATGGCACCGGCCTACAGGCTCTGGAGACCAGGCTGCCCTGTTGGATGGTCATGATGAAATAGCACCAAGTAGGCAGGAAGAGGTCCTGTGGCCTGGTAGGCAGGCCCAAGCCCAGGTTACCACACAGCACTAGGCACACGAGGCTTGACCCAATGTGAGGGTAAGGGTGGTTCTGGGGTCACCAACGTTGCAATCTCTACCCAGAGGTCCTGAGGATGTATAGAAAACCCTGACACACTGAGAGTCCTTGAGCCCCGGATTCTCACTGCTCCACCGAGCAGGTCTCTTGTTCCCAGGCAGTCACCCACCTCAAGTGTAGTCATGTGTTTCCCAAGGGCTGGCCTGGCTACCACCTCACCACCCTGGAGGGGGAGGAGCTAGGCCACCCATAGCTTGAATTCCTTTGTTAACATGATTATTTATGGGTTTGCATTTTTAAAAACACAGCTCTTTAATTTTTCAGTTCTATAACTACTTTTTAATATTTGAATATTCTCAACAATGGACACAATGTAACTGCCCCAGTTCTCTGGATCACACAGACAATATCAAACAAGCAGAGAAACGAAGAGGTGGCGGGGCGGGACGGGACAGATAACCCGCTCCTCCAAATCAACCCTAAAACCGCTTCTCCCTCAAAAGAGGCAGGAGGAAAAATACCTACAATAGGGTCACAGCACTTGCCAAACACAGTGGGAATAATCAGGACACTTGGTTACAATTTTGACACTAAAAAGTTTGGAAAGTTTCTGTTTAAAAAGAATACAGACAGCCATTTTGTTCAGAAGGATCCCCAGGTCACGCGTGTCCTCGTCCCTGAACATCCTCTTGGTTCACAGGAGGGAACATGTCTTTGAATGGTCAACAGCTCCAAGACTGGCAGTGACGGCGGGTGCCCAACAGGCCTGTGGTGCAGCCTCATCCTTCCTGCTCCTCTGCCCCGGCTCTGGACTCTGCAGGCAGGTGAGGCCCGGGAGACAGCTTGAGAGTTACGGATCCTGCTGACGTGGGTCTGCTGGACTTCGGCCTGTGAGTGTCACTTTCTACGCAGCAGCACAGCCTTGCTTTGGCCCTTCCTCAAAGACCTGGAGGGGGGCCAGGGGGCCTGCGCTTCAGTCAAACAGGAGGGCGTGATGCCAAACCCATGCCAGCGTCAGCAGTGGAGGGCAGGACAGCAGCACTGAGGACCATCTGCGCGGACGTCCTCTCTCCCGAGGGAGAAAGTGAGCCAAACAGATGGAGGGGACGTGACCAGTCACAGCATGACCTGCGACACTGTTGGTGGTGGCAGTCGTCTGCTTGTCTAGAACTTCTAAGGCCCCCAGGTGAGGCAGAGGGCTTGGGAAGATGTGAGAAGAAAGGCTGACAGGAACTGCAGGACGCCCTCCACACTGCTGGTTGCTGACGCCCACTCAGCCTTCTCCATCTTTAATGGCCTTTAAGTGCCTGTCGGTCCCAGTCAGATGTCAGCAGTCAGTCAGTCAGTCACTGAAGCCCCAGGACAGAGGCCTACTAAGGATGCTGCTGCTTTAGCTAGAAGCCCCAGGTTGGATTCCAGCCCTCATTTCTTACTTCATGATGACCTTCATTTGGAATAGAGGTGTTTAGGTGCAAAAGGTATGAGGCTTGACGATGGAATGGAAGTGATGGGGATGATCCTAGCCAACCTGCAGTGACTCTCCAGGCTAGATGTCTGGAGGATCATGGAAGTGCATGAAGACAGTCATGGATGACATGTCCTAGTGCAAAGCAGCTATGTATTTGGTAAATATTGGCTCAATGAATGACGTAAAGTCAGTAAGATCTGAATGCTGGATAACCTATTAACTTCGCCTAATACAAAGGCCATGTTTATGGTCCAACTTTAGCTCCACAGTCTCCAGAACCATTTGAATCACTGGATCTCCGCCCGGGGTGGAGACCCCTTTGCTGTGGTGCACAGATCAATGTCTGTCCTACACACTTGCCTTCCCAACAAGCATGTGTCCCGCAAGGCTCCTGCAGCCTCTCTGCAGGGACCTGATGGAGAAAAGTTTTAAAAGATAGAGAAAGCAGCAGGTAAAGAGTGGCAGACAAACACCAGTGGGTACACCAGGGAGGCCTGCCTGGGGTGATCCCTCACAGCAGTTGGAGAACAGCTGACCAGCGTCAGGGCCAGGCTGCTCCTGTGGACTCGGACTCTCCTGCTTTCTGGATTCCACCATAGCCTGTGAAGCTGTTACTGGGTGGTGCTTCCTTATGTTATGGGCATACAATCAGATTCTGACTTTCCTGTCCTGAAATACTGGGGTCTTCTACAGGATTTATGGATGGGACAATGAAAAGAACTGAGAGAAGTGAGCAGCAGTGATCATTTCTGGCCTAATCTCCATATTCCTGGCCAAGCCGGAATCTCCGAAAGCACCTCAGACAGGTTCATGGCAGTCCGTTCAAACCTCAGCATCTCCCACAAGGGAACACCTTATGGCAGGGAAGAAGGGGAGCAGGGATGGGACTGTTAGTGTGGCAGTAGTGGCAGTCTCATGAGGTCCTAGGCTGAGGGCTGTGGGGGATTTACAGGCAGCATTACATTCTTTTGAGGTGTTTGCTTCAGGGACTGAAGGACTAGATGTGTGCTGCTGTCTGTTTCTCAGAGCCTGGTTCCTTGTGACTGCTGTCGTCTGCACCTGGTTTCATGGCGCTGGCTGAGTCCCTGGGGTGTGCATGAACGTGTTAAGCAGGCAGCTGACACAAATGGACAGGTACAGCCACCTACACAGAACACTTGTCAGGGTAACAACACCAGCAGCAAAGGTCCTGAACTGCCAAATGGGACCCTGCAGGCCAAGAGGTGACTCAGCCACCCAAGCCCACTGACGCCTCTACAGTGGGAAACAGAGAATGCTGGTCTGAGAAGGCCACCTCTAGGAAGATGGAGGGGAGAAGGCATGCTTTCACCGCCATGATTCAACTAACTGAGCACGTCTCACAGGATCCCCACACCTCTCCCTATCAGAGGCTTTTCCAAAGATGGGTGCTTCACACACTGATGTGCACACAGTGAGCATTTCATAATATTTTTTGAATGAATGAATGAATAGAGGGAGGAATGTGTATGAGATAAGACAAACTCAGTTGTGCCAAAGGAAGTTTCTAGGCAGCGCTCGAGGCTGTGACTCTGAGGATGCACCTTAAGGGTAGAGTTGAGAGGGTGGGCCATGGACCACATACTCTAGGAAGCCCTGTCCTACAGTAGCTTGGGGCAAGGTGGAGGGAGCAGACAGCATCGTGGGTGATGATCAGGAGGAATCAGCATGGCCCTACGGGACATCTTCTGGAGGAGCAAGGCTGCAAGCAGTGACAACAGGCCCTTCCTGTTAAGCCCTCTTCTCTTCAGGTCAGCCATTTAAGCCAACAGTGAAGGGTGGGAAGGTCAAAGGTCTTCGACAGGAGTGAGCAGGGTGAGCACTGTGCCCATCAGCTTCCTGTCAGCCGAGAGCAGTGCAGGTGGGACAGGCCAGGATTCCCAGCTGGGCCAGAGCTAAGCTGCCCGCGGCCTGCCTCTGCGATGCTCATGACAGCAGGCCAGAAGGGCAGACATGGGGGCAGGGCAGGCGGGGGAGTGCTCTTCTCTCTGTCCCGGGCCACCCGCTCCCTCCTTCTCTACCGTCTGCGGAGCGAGCACTCACTCTCATGCTTCAGCACCAAGCACTCTGAACAGACTCTAGATGAGGCCACCAGGCTCCGGCTTCCTGTTCCTGGCCTCCCCAGCTCTGCTGACGACAGGGCAGTTCTTCCTGGAGACCAAGGAGATCTGTGCAGAGACAACATTCAGAGCAGCGGGCAGAGGATGACAGACACAGATGGCCGGATTTGCAGGGCCAGCTGGCAGGGTCTGGTGTGGGGCGGCTCCTTGGTCACCTTGCTTGGAGCACCTCAGGAGGACTCTTCCAGGGCATTGACAACTTGCTCAAGGATGTCCGGGCAGTGATCGGCTATCTGCTGGAGAATGGTGTTGGCAAACTCCTGGAGCTCGGCACTGTCCCCTTCAACCTTCTCCAGCTCACTCTGAAGCTGAAAGGGAAAGGAGAGCTGGGGTCAGGTGTGCGAGCAGGGATCCATCAGGAAAGACAGACGGACAGAGCTGACCTCCCCCATCAAAATAATGATCAAACGCACACACTTCTAGACTCTCCTCATGAAAACAAGGCCCAGAGAAGTCAGGTCCATAGCACAGTTCTTGCTGCCTACAAGACAGGTTTGTTCCCACGAGTCAGACCCTTCTGTAACTTGAGCTTGAAGTTCCTCATCTTAGCACCTTACTTCCCTCATATTCAAAAAATGTTCTTCCAGTCACTTGGCTACTGCAAGTTTTTATGGAAGAGCTGGGGTGGTGAGGCATGCTTGGGGTTCCAGCTCCTTGGGATGCTGAGGCTGGAGGATCATTGGAGGTCAAGTGTGTTGTATGTGTAGTGCATTCATGTGAGTGAGACCTTAGTGTTCTCTCTCTCTCTCTCTCTCTCTCTCTCTCTCTGCATGTGAGTGAGACTGTGGCTCTTAACAAAGATTTTGTGGAAGGGCGGCTTCTACTAAACCTTAATCTAACTCAGACACCCAAGGAGGGACAAATGGGAAATGGATACAGAGGCATTATCTCCAATAGAGAAAACAAGGAAGTGTCTACTCTGCTAAAACCAATCAAGATTTCCAAATGCAGACTGGATTGCATGAAAGCAGCAAATCTGACTGCTTCAAACATTCTCCATGTAGAGTCTGGTGCTTGGAAGCAAGGACACAGTGCCCACGATGGTGTGGTCCTGTTTACCAGCTGGGAAGCTGTCCCTGTTACTAAGGTGACACCATATACAAAATGTCCTGCCTCAAAAAATGCCCCCGCCCCCAGTGCTCTTTACTCCTTCTTCCTGTAGCCTCCGGGCAACCCCTGCACATCCCTTCCTTCAATCAACAGTGTTTCCAAGTTCTCTTCACCCTGATCCAAGGACCTTTCCTATCCTGAAAAGATCCTGAAATGGTCTTTCTTAAGCTGGTTGCAGTTTTTACCATCAAACTTTAAAAGTGCACTCTCTAGTACACTGTCTCTCGGGTCATCCCTAATAAACAGCAATAACATGACCGCTTCCTCACCTAACAAGCTTTCTTGAAAGGTTAGTGAAATCTCTACCTAAAAACTACACAATGTTATTTACAAAAGTGAAAAGTGTCTTAAATGGAAGGATATAACATGAACAAGGAGCGGAGACTCTAGACGGTATTAATTCTGCTCAATCTAACTCATAGGTTCAATGCAACCCCAATAAAACCTTAGGCAGCTATGAATGTAAGAAAATTCAGAAAAAAAAAAACCTATACAAACATGATCACTTGGTTTATGGCAAAAGGTATCATCTGTATGGTAGGGAAAGGTTGGATTTTATGATCTATAGGGCTACATGAGAGAAAACTTATAACCATATCTCAATCATACACAAAATCAGTTCCTGATGGATAGTAAATTTATGTCTGAATGGAAAACATGAAAAACAGAAAACAGGAGGGCTCGTCACAATGCCACCTGCCTATGAACTCAGTACTCAGGCTGAGGCAGGAGGATTGCATGTGTGAAGACAGCTTGGCCTACACAGAGAAAACCTGTTTCAAAAAAACCAAGCAAACAACCAAATTTACAAACACAACAAGTCCCCTGCACTACACACAAAGGTTAAAAGAGACACTGTTCAAACGCCATGCTGACCTTCTCTGTACCCTTCCAATTTCAGCATACATACTACCAGAGCTACAATGCAAAGATTTCTTAGGCAGAACACAAAAGAACATTCACCATGAAAAAAAAAAAGAAAAAAAAAAGACCTGAAAAACCAGTTAATTTATATTCAAACTAAAGGCCAGATGTGTTGCTCTAGGCCTGTAATTCTAGCACTCAGGAGGCAGGCAGGAAAATCAAGAGTTGAAAGTCATCCTCAGCTACATATTACGGTGAAAGCCAGCCTAGGCCTTGTGAGGCCTTATGTCCCAAAACTTAAACAAAAACAAGCAAACACCCCGTCTGCCCCTCAAAACCAACCAACAAAAAAATGAACAAAAAGCAAATTAATAAGCAAACAAGAAAACTCAAATAAAACAAAAACAAAGAAATCCCCACAAAAACAAAACTAAGCACCTCTTTCTCTTCAAACACCATTAGGAGAAAGAAAAAGCAGCTGGCAGATGGGAGATGTCTGCAGTGCATGTATAAAATGGACGGGGATTAATAGTGTAATAAATAAAGAACTACAAATCGGTAACAACAACAGTAACACCACCACTAACAACAGCAGGAAAACAACAAACTCACAAGGCCAAGGAACTAGAATAGTACTTTACAAAAGACTCCAATTGTCATTCAGTGCCTATGTCTGCAGGAAGGTCCTGCAGATTCCAGGACACCTTGTGGACAACAAAATCTTCATTTTTATAAAAAATGAGATAAAATGATGTACTTGCATATAACCTACATACCTTCTCCTAGAGTATTCATAATACTGAATGCCGCATAAACGTGAAGTAACCAGTTGTTATACTGTATTATGCCGGGCGGTGGTGGTGCACGCCTTTAATCCCAGTACTCGGGAAGCAGAGGCAGGCGGATCTCTGTGAGTTCGAGGCCAGGCTCCAAAGCTACACAGAAAAACCCTGTCTCAAAAAACCAGTTGTTATACTGTATTATTTAGAGAGTGATGAGGGAAAACACGTCCAGACACAACCATCTGTAGCTGGCAGTCCCGCAGCCCACTTATAAAATAATCACTCAGAAGCTCATGTTAATTAAAACTGCTTGGCCATTAGCTTAGGCTAACTACTGACTAGCTCTTACACTTAAACCCAGCCTGTTCCTGTTAATCTATATGCCGCCACATGTTCCGTGGCTTTACCTGCGTCCCATTACATGTTGCTCCTTTGGCGGCTTGCTGGTGGCTCTCCCAGCCTTCTTCCTGTCTCTCTCTTTGAATTTCCCGCCCGCCTCTAAGCTGCCTTGCCATAGGCCAAACGGCTTTATCAACCAATCAGAGCAACACATATTCGCAGTGTACAGAAAGCCGTTCCCCCATCAACCATCATAGCCTAAGTACTGTACAGAGCTGACACTGGAGGTGAACAGTGCTCAGATGACGGGTGATGGAGAGACACTTAGAACAGAGAATCGTGGGTGGGGACAGCAGGGGAGAGCTTTATTCTGGTGGACTCTCAGAGTGCTCAATGCATGGAAACTTCAAGTTCTGATTTTTAGAACTTTCTGGAATATTTTCCCAAGTATTTTAAAACTGTGATTGTTTGTTGAATTTGAGGGATGTATAACCCAAGGGTGTGGAGGATCAACTGCATATTGGAAAGGCTAGGAAACACATACCAATGTATTTATCCTTGTTAATCATCAGAGAAACAAGAGTAAAAAACCATAGGAAACCACTAAGTATCCATCACAATGGGTACAGATTTAAAAGTCAGATAACATCACATGCTGCCAAGGATGTGGAACCACGTGACTCCTCCACACTCCTGTACAGTGTAATTGCAAAGAGGCAGGGCTGCTCTGGGAGGATTTGGTAGCATTCATTGAACTTGAGCATGTGTGTATCCTATGGCCCAATGACTAAACCTTCATGTACACGCACATTCACCAGAAGACAGACAAGAGTGGGGACATAATCTCTACTGGCCACGCTGTTGGCAACCGAATGATTAATAACGGACGAAAAAGGGTGAGGAGATGGCTGTTTGCAAAGTGCTTAGCAAGCAAACCTGAGGGCCTGAGTTTCATTTCCAGCACCCATGTGAAAAGCCAGGTTTGGTAGTGCATGCGTGTGTGTGTGTGTGTGTGTGTGTGTGTGTGTGTGTGTGTGTGT